TGTGCGGTATTGCATAGAGTCTGAGCTGGAATGGAAAGTCACCCTCATGTACCGTCCGCTTGAGCGAATGTCTTTTGGTGTTGATAGACCACAGAATGTCCCTTTGCTTTCACTGTAATTTTCTTTCCCATCTTGAACCTTTACATAATCTTCGCATAATGATTGGTATTTCGGTTTCAGATAAAATTCATCAAAGCTAAGCTTGACAATATTTCCCTCTGGCACAGTGATCACCCAATCACATTTCATATTTGGTGGGTATGTGGAACCTTCCTTTGGACTTTCTAGTGTACCATACGTTCCATTCAAACTCAGTCTCTCATTGTTGATGTTCCCATAGTAGCAAATCTCCTTTGAATAAGCAGCAGATGCTATGGAAAAATATGCAAACGACTGATTGTGAATATACGAATATCGTAAATATATAAACTGCGCATGAATGAATAAAAAAAGAGTGGTCTTCGCGGTTATGAACACTACTGAAGCAGTCGTGAAAATGAAGCCTCAAAAAAGTTTAGGATTGCACGGGAGTTGAACCCATGACCTTTACGATATCGGTGCAGTGCTCTTGTAATTTTTTTGGTTCGCAATAAACTTTCGTCAACTCAGTCTTCGACTCATAATCATGGTGGCGCACCAGCAAATTGGATTACTAAATAGGTGTAAAGGCACTTTTACAAACGCCAGCCTCTTCCGCAATTCAAGCGAGTTGAGGTGACTTTGTTTATATTCATCGTAGCTGAAATGGTGAAAAAAAGTATAACACAAATGTTTCCGCTTATTTGCAAACGAAAAGAAATTAATCGCAAAGATTCCACCAAGGCTCACGGGCCGCATGAAGCAATTTCGCCTGCTGCTAGAACCAATCATATTGCGGTATTTCCTAAATTTTTCTTGCTTGGTCACCCGGAAAAACGCAAACCGTCCTACAGACGTCACGTGCCATCTATGCTGCAATCTGGATAATTTGGTATTATCAAGTGAGTTGATAATGTAAACTCACCACCGTAAAAAGTTGAAAAGGTGACGTTTAAAGCGTTAGTCCTTCGTCAGAGCGACTGGCAAATTATCTGACGAACGCTTTGGCGAAGGGCTAACGCTAGAAACGTCAGCTTTTAAACTCTTTACGGTGGCCCATTTACATAAGCAACTCAGTTGATAATGTAAATGGCCACCGTTTATACTTTCCCAGCGACGCAGCACCTCTGTTTCTTTAGGAAGTGACCCCTTCATGCTGCTGATTTGCTACCCTTTACGCTAACTGCTCCATGTTTGATAGCAAGTAGCCTAACAATGTGCGGCTACTAAAAAAATTTGTGCCTGTCTTGTTAAGTTATCAACGACTGTTGGGTTTGTACTAGGCTATTTGCTCTGGATTTCTATGCGTGATAGTTGATTTGGGCATCGCCTCCATCAACTATCACACAATGTAATCGTAAATTATGGGAAAGTATGACGTTTGTTATGCTCCAAATAAAAGAAATATGCACCGGCAAGTAATCATGATACTCACACAGCTCTGAAACTTCGAAACTTGCTTTAAAACCTTTTTCTGTATTGAACGAAGATGGTGATGATGAAGAAGAAAACGTGATTCTCATGTGATTCCCAGTCGAATAAACATCCCGCACAGACTTCATATTGTAGTTGTAATCACAATATCGAACAAGCTCGTCACTCCAAGAGTACTCCCCGTCACGAATCGCCACATAGTCTTCATCGCCCGTATGGTAATTACATTGGGTGAAGCCTATTCCAAGGTCAAAGTCTTTAAACGTCAATTTGACTCTTTTTCCAGCTGGAACGGAGACCACCCAGGTGCATTTGGTATCTCTTGGGTATGGATATGGATAATCAGGACTGAAAATTGTACCAGAAGGGCCACTGAGCTGCATGACGTCATTACCTGAGCCTCCGTTGCGACATATTCCAGCGGCTTCCTCTGTGTGACGTAGAAATAACACTCCCATGAGTTAAGATTTTTATCAAACACCGCTACATGTGTAAGAATATTAAATTTGCTTTTCACTTTAAAGTAAGGCAAAGAAATAAATATCTGAGTTGAGACTTGAAATCCGACCACATCCTCTCAAAAGCTTGGTGGTTTTGTCCAATTGCAAGTCGCCCTCTACAAGTTCGCCCCTACCTCAACGCAGTGTTTGCAAATTTTATTGATGAGTGGAGTCAGTGCGACTTCAGCTTCACAAATTTTGGAAATCATTTTTGAATATTTGGAGCCAAGTATTTCAAAGAAAAGAAGCAGTTTTATTTAATATTCCTAAACAAGAGTCTTACACAATTACACTATTATAGTGTCTACTGGCTTGGTGCATGATATATTAAATGATAATAAAACAAAAACTACATGCGAAAATGTATACACTATCGTGACGGATACACGATGTATCCAAGGCGGTCCGCTGACCTATAACGCTCAAATCCGTGCTGGCGGTAATCTAGTAAATTTTAATGGCAACTCACCCTCTTCATTTTTTGTCGTGCAGTACAGTTGTTTAATTTAGATTATTTAATTAAGGTTAAAAACGTCTGCAATTAATGTAAATTGCTCTTGTTGCGAAAAAGGTGAGGTAAAAACTTTGTTTGCTACCGTAAATTTCTGGGGTCGAAGTGACTCCCTCCGTAATCTCAGTGGAGTCATGTGAACAATTTTGGCGTAAAATACGCCTAATTTGGCACATTTGCGAATCCTGTCAACGAGTTGGCCTCATCAACTACATGAACTTCTTTACCACGCCTTTCTAAACATTGAGGTTCGTTTAACGCTTTACACCATAAAATCAGAATCCATATTCTCCACACTCTTCTCTTTAAATTTATTTTGGTACTTACAAGGGGAATTTGTTTAACAATCAAAGCTTCTAAGGTTGGTGATCATTTTCTTTATCCTTATGATCTTAATGAATGATTCAGAAGTAATACTGTGAGGAGAAATTATAAGCTGGTCACTCTTAGTGTTTAAAGGGTTCAGAGAAAAAACATGTTTCTTCTGGCTTCAAGATTCACATGCAAAATTCTTGCTGTGACTCACATGTTTGTCTAATAATAAAGAGCTTCCCTAGTTGGTGATCATTTCTTTTCTTCTTGTAACCTTTATGTGTGATTCAAGGCTGATATTGTAATGAGAAATTAGATGATAGTCAAAGGTTAAAGGGTTCACTAAAGAAGATTTATGATGTGATTAGCTTTGCACCCTCAAACCATATGAAAAAGATCTGATTTTTGCCAAGAGATTTTCATGGATGTTTACAAAATCGTATAAAACTTGCATCAAATGAAGGCAATCAACACCCACATAGCTGCTATTTGTAATTTATATTGTCTTCTAATATTTTCTATATTGTTTAAGGCCAATTTATTATGTATGAATTTTTTATTCCGAGTATTTCTTCGCTTTCTACTTTTACACTATGGACAAAAACTGAGTGCAGTGACAGAATACAATGAACTGTGAAAAATAATAATGAATGATTACCTTTTGCAACAGCTGCAACATTGAAACTAAAACCCTTGTAAGAACCATATCCAGATGAGAACTTTACATACAGGTAATGACCAGAGGAATATATAACTTCTGGATTCACTGTTCCACAATAGGATCCAAGGAGATTGGACAATGTGCTATCACCATCATAAAATTCCAACTTCTCACTAAAACAAATTCCAAGAGATCCCCCTCCGACCTGAAAGTCGTTAAATGTAACCTTCACTATATAATCACTGAGAAAGCTGCCAGCTTGGATGCGCCAATTACATTCCAAGTTGTAGCCATAATTTGATGGATAACCAGGACTTGTGATAGTTGTACTAAACCCCCTTGTGGCATCAATATCTTGTGGAGAAACTGAACAACCTAAGTTAAAAGAAATTGAGTTATGAAAAGCAATTAACTAAACAATTAAACAACTAACAACTAACAACAATAACAACAACACATCATAAAAATTTAAGAAAAAGAGAGGTTTTCTTCCTGGTCAACCAGCACCTACTGCACCTTCTATGCCTTAAACTACCAAACAGCAAGAGCCACAGTTCCTGACGTTGGTTTTTCCAAACTGGTAGACCTAACTAAAAATCCATTAATTTTAGTCTCTCTCAAGTTTTTAGATAGCAATACTCCCAAATTTTTATTTTTTGTACCCTGCAGATTTTCTGTCAGTGTTAGGGTGCAATCATTTCCTTTGCCACCATAATAATGAAAGATAATTGATTAGTATGTGGTGTCACTGTTAAAATTTACACTACAATCAAACGAAGGAGCTGCATAAACCTATCTAGAAAACAACAGCCAAACTAACTACATGAAAAGAGATTACATTTTAGACTCAGTAAAAGCCTATATTTTCTTCCAAAAAACTGCTCACATGATGAAGGTTTAATTTGAAAAATAGAGATGCTACTCTAACTACCAAAATGATCTTATTTCCTGAATCCATCTGACAATGAATAATTTCTGACACAACTTTCTGAACCTTGTTTATCTTACAAATCTTTCATTTCAAAAAGCACTTATAATAAATATATAACAAATAAAATGGAATTACAAGCAAAAACATCATCAAAAGTCACACAATGTTTTTAACCATTGATAACATGGCTGTTGACAGTCTGTTGATTGCATTGTCTTTTTTTTTTTTTGATGCATGAAGCAGCATTTTGATAACCTGCAAAGTAATTCAATTCAGCAAGATAACCTGTACAATTTTAGTGCTTTTAAGATTTCTGGATGTAAAATATAAAATAAATTATGAAATTGATATGAAATAAACACAATAATGTGAATTACAATGAACATTTGAAAAGTTGATAAATAATAATACAAAGGGTCATGAAATTATCAAAAGGATAAATTAATATTCAGTGCTCTTTGAATTTGCTTCTTTAAGAGGTTACAGCTAGTCCCTTCTTATCATCATCTTACAAACATAATTTCAAGTTTTATTGTAAGTTAATAGTAATACAATTATAGCAAAAAAATATTGCCAACTTACTCTGTCCATAAACAGGTTCAGAAATCCATGATGAGGCTAATACAAGAACTATAATCAAAAGTAAGGTAAAGGTTAATGCTTTCACCCTTTAACTCTCATAAGTAACCAAGAAACAAAGAAAAATCATATGCCATTGAATTACATGCACTGACTTCCCAAATGGTGTTGTTTTGCAATAGGGCAAAAGCAACAACTGTCCTATTGATCCCCTAGAGAGTCATGTATTTTTTCAGATGTACTTTCGCATTATGATCCTAAAAACAGAGTCTCTTAAGCCGATGCAGCAGAATTTGGAAACCTTTTTGGGTAGGTATTTGCAATTTGCTCTCACTGGTGCTAATTTGAGAGAGATCGTTTGAATTTTGTGGAATTTATCAGCCTTTGGGTGGCAAGGGTTGGTGCTTGGGACCAGTCTTCCTAATTTTAAATAGTGCACAACATGTGGTACAAGGAAAGTCAACAAGTCCAGAAGTGACAAGGTGGCTACGGAATAAAAGTAAGAAGGCTAAACAGATCTAAACATGTCAGTTTTCTTGCTTGTAGTGTACTTCAATTTTTTTCTATTTTTCTCTTTTTTTTTTATGACACAAACTCATGCTTAAATTTTAATCTTAACCCCAATATCACACACAGTAAACTTGGGACACCAGTGGTTTGATTAAATTTTTTTTGTATTTCTGCTTGATGAATTATTTGCTTTCCCAACTGCAACCCACCCCTCCACCCCTTTCGAAATAGCTCCCCTCCCCAACCTATCACTGAAATTGTACACACACACACACATACACATGACAGCAGTCCTGTTTGCCTGACCCAAACTGAGACAGGCAACAACAAAACAGAACGCTACAATACCTGGTGCCACCCTAAAACTTTAATTTAAAATGTCGATTTAGATTCAACCCTTCGTTTGCATAGTAGAAAAATCATAAGCTTCGTCTCATCACGAAGTGCTTAAGCTTCGTTTCGACCAGATTGATTAATCGTGCATGTACGCTATACATAATGAACTTTGAAAAGAAATCTGGAGGATTACAACAATGAAGGCACGAGTGAGCTGTCGATAAAGTTTGCAAAATAAATGAAGCTAAGGTAAGGCTGTAGACTAATTGCAGACGCTGCAAATTTAAAGAGACTACATGGAATTCTTTCTTTCGCTTGTTGTGACATTCGATCGATCGAAGTAAAAAATGTTTATAAATCACAAATTTAGATCTATAAAAATTAAACATCTATATCAGATCACTCTTTTCGTACCTATATAGGTTGCTTTAGGCACTCTCGAGTCATCGATGAGGAAAAACACCTTAAACGTAAATATTAATCGACTTTGATGCTTCGAATTGCATTGATCTTCATCGATCGCATCATGTCTAAGTGAGGGAGCTAAACCAAAAAAACAACGCAAAATTTAATCATAGAAAAGTTTACCTATCACGTTGAAGCTTGCTCCAAGTGCCATGAACAATCCAGCGGACAGAGATTTAACTAGTAAACGTTCAGATTCTGCAGGTGGACTTTTATTCGGTTTTCAGGCGAGGGTGGAATCATGGGTAGCTAATTAAGGTCTTGCGAAAACGGCCACAGGACAACCAGCAGCTTAACTGCTCTGAATAACATTATTTGATAACTTTAAATTACCAGAAACGACACCGACAAAAAAATAAAACTTTTACTTACGTTGAAAGAAATGGCGAAGACAACAGGAAGTTCTCGTGTGTAAAGATATTCTGAATTAGGCCTAAGGCGCTGCAGTGAATGGTGGGACAACTTATTTACTGGAATTTAAAAAAAATTCTGATATTAATTCCGCGTGAATCTACTTGTTTTATACTTATTTTAAAGCTAACATCAGATTTTTTATCCTTTTATTTCATTTCCCTAATTCACACAATTTCCAACTCTTCCTGTTAGACATTTGTCGGGAAATGGTGGTCGCCAACAAAGGAAACTCTCACGTCTGTAGATTTTCACCAGATTTAATATTTTTTCACTTTGTCGGTACACGTCCTGGTATTCTCTCCTAAATCGATCTTCTCTGTCTGTAATTCTATCTTTTTTCAATATCATATCATATAACAATCACGCGTTTCGCAATCAGTTCATGCACGTAACATAAAAGGTAACACAACTCGCTTCCGGTCACGACACTCTCGCTTCCGGTCACGACACTCTCGCTTCCGGTCACGACACTCTCCCCCTATTTGATACCGGAGGTAACAAATACACACAAAAAGAAAATCATTTGTTCAACTTAATTGTTCGTCTTGTCTGGCAATGTCTTTGATACGCTCCGCTGCGGCAACAGCTGCTCTCCTGGGTGTGAATGCCCTGGCTCTGGGGTTGAGGACATTTGACTCTGGGTCTTGAGGCTCCTGATATCGGTCGCATGACAACTCCATGGGGTACAACTGTTGGAGTGCGCGCTCCAGGAACGATTTTCCTGCCCTCAGTCTGGCTGCCCTGACAACACCGTCTCTCCCCTTGATGAGCTTTGCTACAATTCCGAGGTTCCACTTCCCTCTGTTTCTTTCGTCACTTTGGATTAGAACGACGTCTCCGGGTTTAATCTGTGGTTCTTCTTTCTTGTGGTTGAGGTTATGTCTTTCTCTCAAACTCTTGATGTACTCCCCGGTCCATCGGGCCCACAACACATCCTTACAGCGTCGAAGATACTTGGCTCGCTTCCTTAAATCTTTACTCTCGATCGAAACTGGATCATCTTCTGGTAACAGATTGGGCTGGCCAAACATCATGGCATTTGGTGTCAGCGTGGGTAGCTGGACATCGTCTTCCAGATAAGTTAGGGGGCGGTTGTTAAGTGCAACTTCCACATCTAGGAGCACCTCCTCAAACTCGCTCCACGTGAGCCTCGCTCCCCCAACAGACTTGTACAGGGCCCGCTTTACAAGCCCCACCAACCTCTCGTACTGACCGCCCCACCACGGTGCCCTACTCAGGTTGAATTGCCACGTGATCTGCTGGTGTGCCAGGTAATCCTGCATCTTCTCGTCGTTCATGATGCTTCTCAACCATTTCGCCGCCGCAATGAAACTTTTTCCGTTATCGGAGTACACCTTTTGTGGTCTTCCCCTTCTGGCTATGAACCGTTTCAAGCTTTTAATGAACTCTTCTGTACTCTGATCGCTTAACAGCTCCAGGTGGATGGCTCTGGTCAGACTACAGGCAAACAACAGGATATAGGCTTTACCTTCCTTCTTCTTACTGATTTTGTATGGTATTGGGCCGGCATAGTCCACGCCCAGTACCTGGAAAGGAACTGAGCCCATGGTGCGGTCAACTGGCAAGTTTCCAGGAGGTGGACTTTGGAATGCCACAGCACGGAACTTTTTACATCCAAAACAACCCCTGATCACTTTCTTGGTTAGCTGCCTCAATCGAGGTATCCAATAGTCGCGTCTGATGAAGGCCATCGTGAGTCCAACTCCTCCATGTAAGGTCAGGATATGTGCATCTAGAACCAACTTCTCTGTCAACACTGCACTTGATGGTAGATAGATTGGATAGCTTCCTTGAATTCTACCACGGCACTCGTACAACTCTTCGTTGTTCTTCTGTAGGTTGAGGGTCAACTTGTCCTCGTTGAACTTTTCCGTCATTTCATAGCTTGCTTGGGCCCTCTTTATCCACCATTGCACCTGCTTGTCCGTCTCAGCTGTTGTTAGAGGACCACTGAGTCGTACCGCTTTCTTCAACTTGCAGTTGTTCAGGAATCTCCTTATCCATGCTGTCACCCGTACCGTTTTCCAGAAACTGTTTTTCTCTAAAACTTCATCGAAGTCATCCTTGGTCTCTGTAGCAGTTGCGAAGATTTCTTTTGCGAGTTTAGCTTCCGCTTCGGTTTCTTTGCTCGGTTCTGTGAATACTTCAGCTGGCCAACGATCAGGCTCTGTCAACCATTTTGGGCCCATTAACCACAGCTCTCTCAGCTTGTCCGCTTGGCAACCTCTACTGCCAATATCAGCGGGATTCTGGTCGGTACCAACATGCCTCCAGTGAATGTACTCTTTCTCTCGTATCTTGTTCACTCGGTTGGCCACAAATTGCTTGTAGGCACTCCCTTCTCCTCTGATCCAGTGAAGGGCCACAGTACTATCCAACCATCCATGGACTGATCTAACTGGCTGGCCTTCTAGGGCGTTCTTCACATTCTCGGCGAGGTTTGCCGCCATGTGCGCAGATACTAATTCCAGTCTAGGAATAATGAGGCCCTTTTTTGCCAAGCGCGATTTCGCTGCCAGCAATCCTCTGCTCACGCCTGAAGCTTGATGAACCACTGCATATACCACAGCTGCTGATCCTGCCCCACTTGTGTCTCCAAACGCGTGTAAATCGATTGCTTCAATGGTTTCTTGCAAGCCTGCTAAACTGCGCGGGAATTGAAGGTGGTCTGGGAGGTTTTTCTGGAATTTTTGCCATTGCCTTCTGATGTTTTCGGGTACGCTTTGGTCCCATGGAAGGTGTTGGTCACAAACTTCTCGATACAAGAACTTCCCCACGAGGGATACTGGTGACGCTAGGCCAAGAGGGTCGTAAATTGAAGCGAGGAACCGCAACATTTCCCTCTTAGTCACTTCTGGGGGTGCTTCTGGAAACTTCACAGCAATGGTGTCCTCCGTCTTGTCCCATGGTAGCCCCAACATCTTGGTTTCTCCGGTTTTAACTCCAAGTTGTTCCTTGGCATAACTTTGTCTCTCGTCTTCCGACTTCGGTTCTTCGTTCGTTTCCAGATCTGGCTCGTTGGAATGCCACTTGTGTAGTTCGAACTGCGCCTCCCCAAAAACTGCAACAGCTGTTTCTTTTAGTTTGCGCACCTTGTCTTTGGTTTCTCCACCGGTAATGACATCGTCCACGTACAGGCTCTTTTTGATCTCTTCCACTTCTTTTGGGTATCTTTCTTTTAGGCTTTCCAGGTGTTGCTGCAGTGTTCCCCCTAACAAGAACGGTGACTGCACCAGGCCAAACAATGCACGGGTAAATCTCAACACTTCCACATTTGATACATCTCTGTTCTTTATCCAGTGGAATCTTAAGGCATCTCGATCTTCTAGTCGAATACGTACTTGCAGGAAGGCCTGCTTAAGGTCACCAGCCAACGCCACTGGCTTCAGACGGTTTCTTATTAGCACATCCCACAGCATGGTCTGAAGGGGTGGCCCCGTCTCCAAACAATCGTTAAGGGAGGGACTCTTCTCATTTGATCTCGCTGACGCATCGAACACGATTCTCAGCTTGGTGGATTCTGCTGACTCTCTGATGACAGGCTTGTGTGGGATGTAGAACTCTCTTCCCACTGGGTCTGAAGACACCTTCTCTACGATCCCTTTCGCCAACTGATCTTGAATGACTTCGTCATACTGGGCCAGAAGGTTGGGCTCTTTCTGTAATTTCTTTATCAGGCTTTCGAGTCTTCGTAGACTTCCACACTCGTTGTTTGGGAGGAGATCATGACCATGTTTCCATAGTAGCCCCGTCTCATACCATCCTTCATCGCTTCGTCTGAGTTGCTCTTTAAAATCGTCGTACACTGTTTGCTGATCACCATTTGGCCTGTCCTCAAGGCCCAACACGTCAAGACTACACAGCTGGTCGTAATCAGTGGACGACGTTCTGGTGAGATAAACACTGCTCAGGTGTGCTTCCTTTCCGGCCGACATCATTGTCCAGCCTAAAGTGGTTAGCTCAGCTATGGGTTCTCCGGCCTTTCCAATTCTTGGTTTTGTGTCGGTCTTTATCCGCGAGTATTCACTAGCCCCCAGTATCAGATGGATGGGTAGTTCCGATTTCGTGTCTCCATCATCCATGACCACTCCTTCGAGGTGGGTGAACTGGTTGATCTTTTCCGAATATCTTGGGTTGGGCACCGACAGTAGGACTCTTTTATCGACTTTGCTCACTGTGGTTGCCATCTCGAAACTCCCATGGGTGTTTGCAATCTTAACGTTGTATTGTTGAATCTTCTGGTTTGTCGAACACATCATCATGTCAATTCTCTTGTGCTCTATTCTTGACGGTTGCTTTCCAAGTCGTTTGACAAGTGCTGCTGAGGCATACGAGCTTCCCGCCCCAGTGTCCAGTAACGCGCGGCATGTTACGCCGTCCACATTGACAACCACGATTGGGTAAATGACTGCTCCTTCACTGGTGGCTAGCAACATCTGCTGGGAATCTCTGTCACATATTGAAGTATGATGTCTGCCGTTGCACTTCTGACAACTTCTCACAATACGACACTCAGCAGCTCGGTGTTTGGTACCAGTGCAGTTGAAACATAAACCTTTCTCACTGAGGTGCTTTCTTCTCTGTGCCACACCCACTATCTTGTCACAGTCGAGGGACTTGTGTCCGCTAGATTTGCAATAAACGCATGGTCTCGGTTTCCACTCGTCTTGCCTCGAGTTAAACAATTTGTCTCGGGATTTAGGCGGCAGGGTTCTGCCACTGCTTGGTTCTTCGGATGAAGGCAACGGATTTCTTTCGCACCACTTTCGAAGTGACTCTAACATCTGAGGAAATCCCCACTCTTGCCAGTTGTCGTCCAAACGGACAAGGTCAGCCCTGATGTCAGGTAGTTTGTCCAAGGTAACTCGAACGTAGCCATTTATCTCTTGAATTTTTCCCATGGTTTCCAGTGCTTGAGCATTAGTTGACAGCTTCTCGTAGAATGGGTGTATTTTTGCTGGCTGAGATCCCTGTATGGTGGGTAAGGAAATAATACACTGCATGTGCGCGTTGGACACTTCGCTCGGTTTCCCGTACTTTGCTGTCAGAATGCTTTTAGCTCGTCCGTAGCCTTCTGTATTGTAAGGCAAGCCATCTACCGATGCACGAACTTTGGGGGTGAGAAGCTCTTTGAGGTATGAAAATTTCGCTACTTGTGTAATACTAGCCTTATCGATTTCAGTTTCGAATTGGCTCCAAAACCTCAACCAGTCGAGGTGGGTTCCTTGAAATTTAGTGATGGTTAACTTGGGTAACTTGGCGCCACTCTCCTTTAGAGATTTGGTTCGATCCTCTTCTAATTTCTTTTCGTGGTCGCGTTTGACCTTCAATTTTGCCTCCTCGAATTTCAACTCTTCTTCGTAACGACGATTCCTTTTCTCCTCTTCTTTCTTTTCCTCCTCGTCTCTCAATTCGCGTAAAGCCTCCTCTCGTAGATTCCTTGCCTCTACTCTCACATTATCGGCGAGTTTTTCGAATACGTCGACTTGCCCTTCGATTTCCAATGTCCATTCTCTCACGTCGTTCGGGTCGTCTCCTTGCTCTATTTTTAGCGCTTGTATTTGAACCTTCTGTTCATGAACACCGTCTAGCTGTTTTTCCAAATCCTTTTGCAATCGCTCTAACGCTTTCAGTTCTTTCTTCTCTCGAATTCTCGGTACTTCTTCGGTCGTGAATTTCAACATTCGGAGCTTTGCGTCGATCTTTTTCACCGCTTGCTCAAGCTCAGCCATTTGTTGTTTTTGATAAAACCACGCGGTCAGTGTGATTTCTGTGATGAATTTTCTGTTTCTTTTAAGCCGTGTCCTGGCAGGGTCGCCACTTTTGTCGGGAAATGGTGGTCGCCAACAAAGGAAACTCTCACGTCTGTAGATTTTCACCAGATTTAATATTTTTTCACTTTGTCGGTACACGTCCTGGTATTCTCTCCTAAATCGATCTTCTCTGTCTGTAATTCTATCTTTTTTCAATATCATATCATATAACAATCACGCGTTTCGCAATCAGTTCATGCACGTAACATAAAAGGTAACACAACTCGCTTCCGGTCACGACACTCTCGCTTCCGGTCACGACACATTTGTTACCTCTTTAGCCCCGAAAATATCCTCATTATTGTGAAATTTTCCATTCAACTATCCGCTTGGAGATGAAATGATGCTGTATGGAAAAATTTCTCGATGGTCACTCTTAGAAGTGAAAAGGTTTTACTCCTTCCACTACCTGGACCAATGGCGTCCTTTCTTTGCGGGAGCCTAACACAGGAGAACCACAAAAGCCGTTAGATGTGGGACAGAGAATGCGTGATCCATCCACTTGAGCGATCACATGTTCTGCCTTATGGTTTTAACTTTACTCAGTGCTTTAACCTTCCCCCAGTCCCTCGTCCTTGGTGCTCCAGGACGCGCGTTTATCGGCCTCGAGAGGATTTGAGACGGGTCAGGGAGAGGTTTGCCGGGCGGGGATCTAGTGCATTCGCGAAAATAAGAAACGGTCGTACCGAAGGGCTTGGAAAGCCAGGGACTGCCCGTAGGCTATTATTGCTTCCAAATATATGTAAACAATAACTGCAAACTATTTTCGAATGATGAGCAAACTTTCAATTAATTAAAAAAAAAAAACAATACGGAATGGTGCTCCTGTGCATTGAATTCTGAGGTTAATCAGAAACCGGGCAACATAGTGGTATGTCCCATCATAGGTATATAATTTTTTGCGTGAAAAACCTATGTTCATGATCTCTTCTCTTCAAGAAGCTTAACATCATCACATAATTATTGCTGTCAGCACTGACAGCAAAATTTAGGTGATATTTAGGTGCCCTGTGGCAGATGTCTCTCATTGAGTACGAGTTTGGTGAAACTTAAGGAAGTGTCTTAATTAAGTGTTTAAATTTCATTTTCTAAAGTATCGGACTTCTTTCAAATACGGCTTTAAAAGTCCAATTTCTTCTAATTTTGCATGCATATAATTTACAATCCATAGCTTCTGCTACTTATTCAGAGAAGTGTGTCAGCACCTTAATCCCTGCTGTGTGACCACTGGTCGCATCATTTGTAAAGTAAACAGAACTTATGGTTCCTGAGGGGGGCGTGGACCGTTTGACTTGCGCATTCTGTTGTCATGAATACGACTGTCGTAGGGGTGGATACTATGGAACTGCTTCCTCCTCATGGTAGGGTGGTGGTGACTTCGATGGATATGGGTACCTCGGGGGTGGTGAATATGCGTTGGACGGCGCATGAGCGAAATCCACAAGAGGGGCTGGGTAAGGATTTAATACCGGCTGCGGGAGTGGATGATGTATCACACCTGGCTCTGTGATATGGGGTTGTGTGGTTTGCGTTGACATCGGAATCCTGGCAGCCGCCGATTGTCTCTGAATCCTCCGCCTGCATTTTACAACATACACCAAATAAAGATAAGATGACGAAGACAACCACACCGACAATGAGGGGTACTGTAGCCGACGAAGACTATGAGGAAAGAAGAAAAAAAGATTAATAATCACGAGAAGCTGTGGCCGACCTGCTAATGTATATTCAAGTTCTAATGATGACATTTTTTTATTTTTTCCTCTATTCCGAATTCCCGTTTTGTTATTTTTGGGTTTCTCAACTAGTTAACGAGTCAGTTAAATAGCTAATTGATTTGTTTGTTTTATTTTTGTCTCGTTAATTTTCCCTATATAAGCAATTCAAATGCGCTGTAATCGTCATGATGACGCATACTTAGCTACCATTCTGAATATTCTTTTACCCGGGACCACTAGTTACCAGTCTGGCGCCCTAACCACTCGACCACACGGCCTTCTTGATGTTTATCCTAACACCACACCCTTAAATGAGAGTCCGTTACTTGCTTTTTCTCGCGTTAATCTACTAAATTGATAATCATTCACAACGAAGCATATGATCTGAACATGGACATGTCTCGAAGAAGTCGCGAGTTTGAATTTCGCTGTGAGGCGTAAATCTAGCGGAGGAAAGAAGGAAATAATCGCCATTTAGCGCTCTCGTAAACCAACTTTGATTTTGGACCCTGTTTGTTCCAAGCGCCTTTCGAATAGCTAATTAAAAATCCTAACTTGGCGTTCTCACAGATAGAAAGCTTTTCAATTGAGTGCGGTTAAACCAAAAAGTTTTGGAAAATCAAAAACTGATAACAAAATAAAACAACTTACATTTTACGTCCCTTACTGTAAATGTGCCCTTGAAACCGACCGCGTGAGCGAATGTCTTCAGGTATCGTTGATCCACATAAATACTCTATATTACTGCCGGTAACTTTCTTTCCTCTCTCGAACTTCTACATAATCTCCACAACATGATCCGTAGTCGTGTTCTAGTTGAAATTCATCAAAGTTGAGTCTCACAATCTTCCTTCTGGAACCGTGATCACCCAATTTCTTACCATCTCTTACCTGAAGGGTACAAGAAACCTTCCTTTGGACTTGCTTAAGTTCCTTTCGTTCTAGTCCAACTTGGTTTCTCATCGTTGAATTTCCCTAGGTAACACTTCTCTGAATAAGTTGCAGAAACTATGGATCGTAAATTATATGCATGCAAAATTAACCGAAAACACGGAGGCCCGATCCAAGTGCCATGAACAATCCGGTGAACCGGGATAAAACCAAGTATCAGCAAAGATTTTACATGTAAATACCCGCACTAAGGCGGAGGTGGAGTCATGGGAGCTTTTTAATCACTCTGTAAAAGATCACAGGTCAACCAGCAAATTAATACAGCGCTGTTTTATAACTTTACTGGGACAGCTTGAGATGAAGGTTCCATTTAAAAGGAAAAAGGGCGTTTCATGCACAATTGTAAGACGAACCGATCGTTACACACCGATTAACAATACCAATTTATTGGACACTGGTTTCGAAAGTCAGCGAGCTTCAGAAAGCCGAATCTCAAGAGTTCTGCGTGACAAACAGCCCAAAGAGTAATACGAGGGCATGAGACAAAATAAAAAATTGCGATGTTTGGGAGTTTTTTAAGCGTGCTTTTGCCTTGTGCCTCACAGTAATGCATTGACCACATAGACAATTAACAGCTCTACATTAAACACTTAAATTCCTGGTCACAATTGTTTTTAAGATCATATACCAAATCAACCAAATATATTTTTTACATCTTAGAGTGGGCATAAAAATCGTGCATATCTTATAATCTCGTTAACTACAAATGGACTGATTTAGGGGGGCACTGAAAAAGCTATATCAAAAAACAAAAACAAAAAACCTTGCTCTTGCCAGAGATGTAGGAAGCAAGGCAAGCCATTGACTAGTTTCCAAACTCTAGAAACAAAGTATCCGAGACTTAACCCTTTAACCCCCAGAGGTGATTAACATGTAACTTCTCATATAATATCCACACATTATCCTTCAAACAGGTAACGAGAATACTCAAACTGATCAGGTAGAAGTTGTCATCTTGATCTAACACCAAATTCTTGTTACTATTTGACCAGGAAATGTGTATCTGCTAGAGGGGAGAATTAACAATCAGATCTTGGGATTGAGACAGTTTCTAAGGTCCAGTTTGATCAATCCTGATGTAATTGATTTTCAACAAGTTTATTTTAATTAGTTTTGCCCTCAAGATGATCAGACTTGACCAGAAGGATTAAAATGTCACTGCTGTTACTGCTGTTGGTCATCTTTTTTGGACAACTGTACATATCACTGGTGTTAAGTAGCTACTGAGAGTTCCCTCTAAATGTAATAAATTAAAATTGTGATCAATGAAAACTTTGTTGCAAAGAGCTGATCAAAAATAGTAAATGTTAAATAAAGTGACTAAGACTGACAAATTCTGCATTATTTTTTGAGCAATGGTTAGCTGATTAATTAATGTATAAGATCACTGGCGTCATATGATGATGATGATGATGATAAACTTCTTTGAATGGAAAGACAACATTCTGTACACTTTAAAACATTGTTTTTACATCTGCTGCCATCAGAACTGAGGTCTAATACAAGCTTGTCTTTTTCATAATACGAAGGAATTCAGCTTCATTAATTTCCCCATCACCATCTCTGTCAGCCTCATCAATCATTTCCTGCAAAACAGAAAAAACAAATGAACCCTTTCACTGCCAAGATCTCATTAATAATTCTCTTTACAGTCTGCCAAATAATACTCAATATGTTTGTGTGGAGAATTTGGTGATGAATCAACTAATAATCCCCTAATTGATATTTTTCTTTATTCCCATCACTAAGTTGAAAAGTTTTTCATTTTGCCTTCATATGCTTTAAAATTGTTTGAAAAGATCTGTTCACTGCTCCACAAAGTAAATGCCTGCATTCTCTTGCATTTATAGCTTCACAAGTGACTACTCTACCTCCCCAACACTTTTCAGAGAAGTCATGGCCCAACAGAGCTGTCCTGCTTAATACATAAGTACAAAACAAACATTTTTTAACCCTACAGATTTGTTTTATCCAATGGACTGCTCCTGGGAGGTGCAACAGAGCTCATAAACAATAGAATCTTACCTGTAATTCTTCATCAGTTAAATTTTCACCAAGTTCTTTCGCAACTCTTTTAAGGTTTTTAAATGAAATTTTTCCCTGTTAAAAAAAAAAAAAAAAAAAAATGCTAAGTAAGTTCTCTTAGATTTGGTCAAATTCAGCACATGCTATACCAAATACACAACATCTAAGACCTGGATAGCTAAAAAACTTAGCCTGACAATGTACCCCTTTTTATTTTGAAGGAGACCCCAACCCTACTGGAAGTCTTTCAAACTCCTGATATCTCCAAGGATACTTTGTATCCAACATATTTATACAGTATGTAAGTGTTTTATGCTTACCGTGTTATCGTCATCAAAGAGTTTGAATGCTTTGAGAATTTCTTCTTTAGAATCTTTTTCACTCTGAAAGGAAATAACAAAAATCAGCGACAGAGAAAACAATTTACAGTATTGTAAAGGTTACAATACTGTACAGTTACAGCATTTGCATCTGGTATGAAAAAAAAATTTATGTAGTATCATTGATAATGTTGACAAAATCAGTATTCATCAATGTACAGTCTATATGAAAACACAATCTTCCTTCTTTCACAGATTATGCAGCAGCACAAAATAAAGAGAGGGAAACAAAAACATTAGCATGAAACAAAAACTCACTGTCCATGGTTCACTCTTTTTAAATGTTGATCAAAAAGTAATGCATGTTAAGCTCACCATTTTTGCTGTCATCATTTGGAGAAACTCATTAAAATCAATAGTTCCTAAAGAAAGAGAATGAAAAAGATCATTTTAGTATGGCTTCAGGTAGAGCTTGTTCAGCTTAAGACTCAAGGATATAAATGGCACCAACACATGTGAAAATTGAGGAAACTCATTTTGAAACTATCGCCGTATGTTAAAGCTAATATTAATTGTTAAGTCTTTAGGAACCATTACAATACACACCTGCAACATACCTGTAAGTTAAACAGTAAGTTATTATGTCAGTAATGAGAATGTTTTAAATTGTTATCATACCTGATCCATCTTTGTCAATGTCAGATATCATTTTCTTGATTTCCTCTTTTTTTGGTTCAAAACCCAGTGCTCTCATGGCAACCTACAACAACGTTACAAATCAAAAACCAAACACTTGCAGTATCTGAGTGTTTAAAAGCAATTGCTTCCTTTTAAACTAGTTTGGTTAGTTTTGTTCTGTTTTAAGCAATTTAAAGTAATATGTTAAAAAATTGGAACAAGACCCAAGAACAAACTATAGGTTCTAGCAGAACTTTTCTGTAGAAACACTAAATACCGTTTACCTTCAGCTCTTTTGCATCAATCGTCCCAGATCCATCAGTGTCAAACAAATCAAATGCTTCTCTAATCTCTTGTTTCTGCTCTTCTGTTAATTCTGGCTTTGGACCTGAATTAAACAGGCACATTTATTTAGCAATCAATCAACTGACGAAGGGCTAATGCTTGAAAAATCAGCTTTAGAAACTCTTTATGGTGGCCAATTCATGATGTCATCTCAATTAATAAAACCAGATTATCTTCAGTTGATATTGGGGAAAATAAGTGTATACCAAATACTTCATGGAAAGTCTGTCCATATGGTATTTACACAGGAAAAAATTGAACAATTAAGAGCTAGGAGCAAGTGATATTTCTGATAGAAACCAACAAGCATAAAGGTGAAGGATGGTTTGGCTGGCTTTGTTTCTTATCCACAGAAATTATCAGAGGACATATATCAACAACGACAGTGGTTATCATGTGATAACTGCCCAGTAATTTTGCCCCTCATGAAAAATAGCCTATAGTCATGCAAAAAACAATGGGTAAGTTATAAATATATATACCCCTCACAATCTTTTTTTTGTGTAATTGGGTGGCTTTGTTGTCTGTTGGCTACGGGCAAAATTCATTTAGTAATACATAAAATTTCTTATAAGGTTCAAACCAACCTGTTTTCTTCCTCTGCCCTGTCGAGAGAGCCCCTTTTCTGTATGATGCTGCCTGTAGAATGAAAAAGAAAGTTATTCAGCCTATTCATCCAGGTACATACACATACACATACACCCTGTATATGGAAGGTTCTCATCACTGACAGAGCAATCAAATGTTCTAAGCAAGAGTGAACATAGCAATGACTACCTGGTGGTAGCATGCTTTTAGGCTGTCAGGATCAAGTTCTCTTTCACAAGTAACAAACAACCAACCACCCAAGCCATTAGTTCACATTGTTTTAGTAAAATGTAACTTTTTTGGTTAAGCTCAAAACAGAATGGTAATCAACAGGATACCTGTACTTGAATAAGCTTTGTGTTTGGAAAGTGTTCAGTTTTCTTTATCAAGATTTCTATGAATATTTCAATCATTTTTCACACATTTCCCTCAACAGCAGTCATTTGTCATGTATTTTTTTTTAAATGTAGTGCTTGAGGTTGGCATGCAGGGAGCCAAAATTGATTCCTTTGCATGTGCCTGATGTCTGACTGCTGTTTTTTCACAACTGTATACAACTTTTTATGATCCATCAAATATTTTTGCTCCTGTGCAATTGGTCTATACACAGCATGTGAACAAATATCCCCCAGCTAACACTGGGTGATATCTGAGCAAATCACCCGAGTGATATTCTCCAATTTTCAAACCTTACGTGCATGTCCACTAGGATAGCTCTTTGAGGGTTTTATGGTTGATACAGAAGAAGGGAAATCTTTTTCTGTTTATTAAGTCATAACAGAGAACACACAAAAGAAAACATCAAATGCTGCATACAATAAGCTGTTCATAAACATTCCTTCAAAACATTTGAAGGATAATAAACACAATAGCCTCTGTTTTGCCTGAAAATATGTACAAACATTTGTCCTTGGACATTATTTGTTCCTCAAAGCTCATAGCTTTCTTCAAGCTTTGCTCTTGGTAAACTGTTTATATCTTGATACAGATAATGTTCATGGACAAATAACCATACATAATTTTTTCACCAAAGAGAGGCTCTACTTATATATTATCACTGTAAACTTAAACATATCCAGGATGTATAACCCAACTCCTTACTGGAAAAAACTTAACGTAAGTGATCTGAGGATGAATGATCACGTTTTAAAACAAGATCATGAACAATGTACAATAAAGCAGCCAGCCCCTGGATGTAAGACTGCCCGTTGTGAAGAAATACTCAGATAGTGGAATTTTAGTACTAAACGGAATAAAAATTGCAACAAAGGACTGTTGAAGGTTCTCAAGTAAACTTACATGAGGCTAAAACAAGAATTGAAAATGTTCGATGCAACACGATCCAGAAATTTAACTTAATGGGGGTAAACCACTGAACATGAACACAATCTGACAAGCTTGCAACTTACGAAAGGAAAATCGCCATTGATCATTCCCTTGAGAAAAAAAGTGGTAATAGCTTTCCAGTTTCATAAGACGAAAAGCATAAAAGTAAACACAAATTCAAGATAGAAGTTTAACCGTCGCGTCTTATTCTAGGCAGCAACACAAGAATTCCATTTCAAACGGAGCATTTCACGATGTGAAAGTTAAGTTATGGAGTCTCCAGACGATGTAAAACTATAACGACGCGCAAGGCTTTGCAACGGATCAGTGTCTTAACATGAAGTTTATACAAAGTCTTTTCTGGTTCAAATTTTGTAATTCCCGGTGTTTACACTCCCTAACGATCGTAAACGATCACACAAGACTCGTGCAATATCACATCAAACAAGCATTTGTTTGCAAATTTTGTCCTCGAAAGAAAATCACAGGGGGGCGAGGGTTGATGAAGCAGAAGAATTGAAATAACCTACCATTGATCTGATATTGAACACACGGTTATGGCAAAGCTGTAATCCAAGGATTGGCGATTAGAAATCAGTTTGACAACAGAATTGTGTTTGTTTTACGCGGTGAACATGACCATGGAGAATCGTGGTGCATTGTGGACTTTCCCGCTTCCCGCTAAAATGAGAGAAGACTGGGGTTAGCTAAGCTACCTTTCTTTCCCAAACCTTAGTCATTTTTAGGGTATTCCAGACGGACCTTTGTTTTTTCCTTTACTTTTAAAAGAAAAAGAGTGTTTTTTAAGGTGCTTCATAGTCTTACAAGCTAAAGCTAAAGCACCTTTGTGTTCAGCTTTGACCGTTGCATGCCCAACTTTGAGCCAGAAATTACGTTAAGTGTAACGAGATCACCATCAGACTGATTCTAAAAAAGACGTGGAAGGGTTCTATGAAATTAGTTCTAATTATCTTAATTTGAAATTGTTCGTTATTCTTAATTGTATTCCCGCGAAATAATTTGTATCTTCATCAAAACAAAACAGATTAATTTAGACAGGAAGCACTCGAACACTATGACACCTTTCGCTAATCCGCCTAACGCGATGGGGTAATTCAATCAATTAGGTCCTTTACTTTAAGGGTTGAAAAAGAACATTTATTTCGAGTACCTAACCGGAGTTTGATCAATCCTGTACTAGTAGCACCGAGATCACAGTACTCACCACTCTACCAGAAGAGACCGACCCAGGAGACAAGATTGAGGCCAGGAAGCCTTATCACAAACACTGCACGGAATGCTTGCGCATTCGAGACAAAGGCGGCTGACCATGCGTCAGTAGTTCTGTGAAGAAGTTGTACCGGGGTCGATTCTCTTCAGATAACCTTGGTCGTTTGAATATCTTTTGGGTAAAAGAGGGCGTTCTTTGTGCATTTCACTTGGACAATTCCATCTTCTGATAGTGCGTTTTTATGTCCTGCCTATTGTTGCCTACAGGAAGGAAATTCTGGAGATTCATTTCTAACTAACCTCGTACATTAACAACAGAAACCATTAGAGACATAATTCTTTCTTTTCAAATAAGTATCTCTGATTCTGTTGCGGTAAATTTTCGCCAGGGTGTGTATACCTCATGTCATGATCCTTTCTGAGAGCACTAGAGCGAATTCTAGCCAGATGGTGAAAAGTGATAGGCTCTCAAACCGCGGAAATGTCTGTGAGTATTGAAGCAACCGGAATGTAATTTTAAAGAGTCTCTGTCATCATATAATGAGTCAATATTTGCTCCAAGGGCGGAAAAATTATCCGCAAATTTAGAGCCGGAATTGCATGATCTTTATCAAAAGGAAGCGTGGTGGTCTCGAGTGTTAATTGATTGAAAAACAGAGAAGAGGTTGGGAAAATTTATAGAAGAAAAATGAAGGGATGGTTTTGTTGAGAGGTAATTAAATAAGGCTACAAATTACTGAAAAGCTGGGCCAAGTTGGTTATGTCATGTTGAAGAGCACCGGACCTCGTGTACCAATGAACCCTTCAAAAGGCATTTTGGGACGTCTAACTGTCGTCTGCCCTAGATGACTTCGTTTCCTATGGTTTGTGAATCTTGAAAACTTCACTTTATTTATTCATTGATCTATTTTCGATATTTAGATAGGTGGCCCACTCGGCCCAGTACAGCTTAAAACTGTTTCAAATGGGCGCTTATATTCACAATAACAAGGCCTGGCCGCAACTCCAGGAGCTGCGCGCCTCTCTCTCTAACAACAAGATTATAGACTCTATAACGTCCCCTGCTGGCCAGTACAGAGAAGATGCAGGAGACATGCACAGAACCTACGATTTATTATCCTTATCCGAGACTAGACGTCATAGCAAAGGAAAAACATTCTCCTCCGGTCTACGACATGAACTCTCGACGCTTCTCTTTCTTCGACCATTTACAATTTCGGCAGTGTCCTTTCTGCCCATGACCGATTCTTGATATTGCATAGCTGGGTACTTGTTTAAGGGCATATAATTTCGCTAACCACAATACTTGCTAAACAATTTGTGAAGACATTACAAGACTTGATTCCCATCATTCACCACCGAAATAAGAGGACTCTGGTGTGTCCCCTCCCAACCCCCTCGTTAAAAATCATGTTTCAGAGGGGTATGCATTCAAGCAAATCACTTGCATGAGTGCGAGAGCAAGGTCACGCGGTTCGATCCGATGCACTTATTAGATTTCCCTTTAACGAATTAAAGCTATATCATAATAAGATAAACATCAATTTTGAACTGACCACAGATAGCACTTTTTGATTTGCATAACATTGCCTCGGTTATATCAGCCTGTATACCACACTTGGTAACCAATCATAAACCATCCGCCCTTCAGACCTGGCTTATCTAGCTTCCGCCTAAGTATATTTCCGATGAAAATCAGACAAACTTTTTTGTGAGTAAAATACGCTGCCTGTATTTATTTATGGCATGCAGGCCACCGTATCCGGCGGAAAATTTACTAGCCATACGGCGAGACTGGTGGAACATAGGATATCACGGAAATCGGAAAAATAGCGCTAGCTTGCGTTCGATTCCTTCATTACGCGCCAGCTCCTCTTTTATATCATGTTTATCCTTAACTTTGACATAGTCATATGCATCTCGACTAGAATTACGCTTTCATGACGTGGCGTGCTCGTCTTCTAACTGAGATGGGCTGCACTATTAAGTTTTAACTCACCAACACTTGAATTCATCTGAGCCAACGACCACATCCGTACAAATGTAACTTATTTATGCACATCTCCTTATTTATCATGATTTCGTTCAGCTTTAATCCTCAATAAATGCGTCGGAAAATCACTTTAATCTTTTTTTACAAGAAGGTTATTTTATTTGAATGACAGAGGATCAAACAGTAAATATATATAGATGACCTCATTCGCGCCTTCTCTGCAACAGGTTTCGCGATCGATTAGGAAGTAATGAAAGCGGAAGAATCCCGTTAAACTCTGCTCTCTGACAAATGAAACTGATACAGCGAAAGATCTTACAGCTTGGTCATGGGAATTAAAGGAGCGATTTCAGCTTTTTTTATTATTTCATAATAACATAACAGTTTTTCTTCCGGTCTGTGGGAGACATGGAACAGGCAAACAAACAGAAACAAAGAAATGTAGCTACTCAGACCAAACAATTTTAGAATACAACAGTGAAAATTTGAATTTCTGTATCTAGCTAAGCTTGGCAGGAGATTTCAAGAGGATGTGCGCTTGACTTCGCTTCTTTTGTTTTTCGATCTCGTGGGAGTGAAATAAGGGGGCCGATATGATATCACATTGCAATCTGAAGAGGTGTTGTCCGGTGTCATATCTAAAATAAAATTACCATTGTGGCCGATAGACCTCGTTGTCGGATACATGCGACATCTAAAGTAACCGAGAGAAACTTAATAACGCTGGAAGAGGCAAGCATGATCAGAGTATGAAATTTCATTTCTTCAGTAGCACTTAGGTAGACGATCTGGTGCAAAACCGCAAATTCTGGTACTTCCGTTTGCGTGGGCACAGTTTTCCATAGAGGGACCTAGAAGAGACGAAATTGTCTGTGCTGATCGTCTGAAGTCTCAACGATTTCCTATCTTAAGGTAAGATAATGCAACAATCTTTTTTATCGTATTGGAAGGTTTTCATTTGTTATTATGTCGGTGCCGAGAATTGAAACCGTTTTTCATTTACATCCTGGCACAGTAAAAGGTAGAAATAGGATGTATGGGTATCCGTTAGGCCGCTCGGATCAATTACCGCTACAATTTAAAAGTATAAAAGTGAAAGCAACATTGTTTACTATATATATATATGTATATATATGTATGTACAAAAACCATTAAGTGCTTGGAAACACACCATGTGCGATTATTGAAGCGATCCGAACCAGTATTCACGAGGCTTAATCGGAGATTCGGTTGAAGCGAAAATATCGATCGATGGAAATCGAAATTATTCACGGGGTATTATTATAGATTATGGAAATTAGTCAAAGCGCATCATGAAACAAGTTAGTTGTTGACTTGTTCAAGCCTGGAGAAATATTATCTACGACTGAAACAAGATTATTAGTTGGCTGAGGTCAGACCTGGAAGTTCAAGGGTATCTTATGTTTACTCCCAGATCTGATTGCAATGTAAATTCTCTCAACATAATCAATGCGTTGTCCAGCAAACAGGTAATGAGAATTGAAAAACTTTCAATTGTCAGCTAAAAGGTGTTATTTTGATAAAATATAAAAAAACTCCCAAACGAGTGATGTGCATCGGCCAGGTTAGAGTGAGAGTTATGGATTAGAAGACATTTGGAATCCAATTCTTTTTTTTTTTTTTTTTTTTTTTTTTCCTACCTCTTGAGCCGGTAGAGAGTCACTTGAATAGCTCTTTACCCTTAGTTTGATTACCATAGTTGTAACTTGAACAAATGCCAAAATAGCTGGAAAAACGCTTGCTTACCTGCGAGACGTGTGCTAATCAAATCTAACCCCTTTCCTTACTCCTCGACAAAAGGAAAAAAAAATAAGAATCGAGTGAACTTCCCAAGTGCTTTCAGATTCCATTAACTTTACATGATGTTTTATTTTTGTTTATTTTGTAACTTTACGTCGAACATATCTTAAAGAATTGGATTACACAAACGTTCAAATTTTCATTAAATCAGCATAACTATTTTGAGTGGGTTTTTGGACTATGACCGGAAGCGGCGGTGGTCACTGATCAACGAGCTACACGCAAATGTGCCCCGTGTGATTCAGCTGACCTACAAAGTCATGGGATTCATGCATGGATATTTTAGAACTTTGGAATATTGCCTAAAGATCAATTTATTATTTTTTATGGCGTCCAACTTTTGACGTCTTATCAACTAGAGCTGTCAAGTAGAGGAGACACTTAGCGGTTTTTTCCCCTTTTTTATCTCCAAGGTGTCAGCAAATGTGACGGAAATTTTTGTGTTTTAATCTTTAGACGCGAATCCCTGAATAAACACCTCGTCACTGAGAAAGGAAATAGAGATCGTAACTTAACACCTGCCCTCGTAAACACGCAGGAAATTATTCATTGACAGACCTGAAGTGCTTGCTTCAACAGGAAAATTAGCGAAAAACGTGGTTTTAAGCCAGTTCTTTGGAGTAATAGAACGTGTTGCATCACGAGTTTACCGGCGAGTTCGCCATATTCGATTCAGAGCCATAGAAACCCATTGACCCTACTTATAAAGGTGAGTATTGGTTAGTTATATTTGTTCTGTGAGATGAAGAGAATACTCATCAAATTGAATTACGGTAAGAGCCATTGCAGAAAAAATTGAGATGTCGGGCTTATGTAATTTGTTTCGATTTTATCTCGTTTATTATGTCTGAGCAGATTCCGGATGGTTCGTGTCGCTGGAATAGATTTGAACTCGACTAATTTAGCCCCTAATATCTTATAGTATATCGTCACTTTAGTATTGTTTATTGTGTCACTATTTTTGTATTGCCACCGTTCCATAATTGAGATTTTGTCACAAGTAACTACGTTTCTTGAGGAAATGTTTCAAAAAATTTCCCCCGATGTTTATTGTTCAACCTAATTCACAACACCCAGGAAATGCGTCAGTAGTTTGTACTTCATAACAAAAAAATTAGCGCAGACTTTATTTAATTTAAACTTGCTAATTATGTTAAATAAACAACACATTTTTGCCAAGGATACATGTACAAACAGCCATAAAATATCGAAACACTAATATACATATATCGGCTTAACTATTATATTTTCTGGGGGCCAAGGTGAGATAAAGTATACAGTCTCCATATTTTGGACGGATTGATTTTCCTAGATCATTTTCTGATGATTCAAGCTGTTGTTTTGAATGTGCTTAGGCATGTTCAATTTGCTTCGTTTGAGTTTTCCAAGCTTTGATCTCAAGAAAAACTGCGCTGCACATCGAAAGAGCTTTATTAAGTCATGTGACCGTAACAGGTCGCCATTACTCTGGCGTAAAATACTCCAAAGGCCAAATATTGCCGAGTTTCATAAGGTTCATTTGGATGTGTTAGACC